GCCGTCGCCAGGATGTGACGCTACGCGTCGCTCTGGCAATGGGACTCCAAACAGCCCCATTGCCAGAGCGACGCGTAGCGTCACATCCTGGTGACGGCGGTGCAACGCCTGTTGCCGTCCCCTGTGGCAGAGCTCCTGTAAAGAATGACGATCCCCCACCGCGATTCAACGAGACTTGGCAGCCCTAGTGTCAAACGTAAGGCCCAGGGGCCAGAACCAGCCTATCCAGGGCTTTTACATGGAAATATAAGGTACTCTCCCTTTTATGGTATCCCTTGGGAAAAACCTAGTCTTGTATATAATTAAATACATTTATTGGGGCTTTTGTGAGTTCCCCAGTAAATCAATTGCTGTCAATGCAAGGAATCAATTGCTTTTGTTTGTATTTTGAGTTAAAAAATAATAGTTAACTGCCTTTGCCTATGTTCTTTATAAAGTTTATATCTTCGGTACCTGGCATTACATTTTATGGTACACATGGCTTGTCCCAACAAACTGATATTTAGGTCAAATCCAGCTCTCATAGCGAACGGGTTTTACACCTCTGCTTTAAACAGGAACAATAGAGTGGGAGAGGGGAAGGATGATCATTAAGCTCCAGTTTTAATTGGGCTGGAGGTTAGTACCATTAGTTCAAATTTAAAAAGTCTACTTCTTTTGGGAAAGTTCTGGTTTGGATTTCCTGCACAGTGCAAGGGGTTGGACTAGATGGCCTTTTACAGTTCTGCAAGGCATGTAAGATGGAGCTTTTCCACCAAGCTTTTGGGTGAGGCAGTGGATGTCAAATATCATCTGGCTCCTCCTGTTATCATCCTGTTGCCTCTCTGTTACCATCTGTACCATGGTCTTCAATTTTTGAAGACACAGACTGATAACTGCCTTGATTTATCTGAGGTAGGGTACTTATACTCTGGAATCCCTTTTGGGATCTAGCCCTTTCTACCTTTAATTGTCTAACTCCAGGGCACCATTGTAATAGTTGTGATGTAGTTTGATCACCATAGTTTAAGGGTTAAGTTTATAGTTTTAATTTTGATTTTATTGTTTTATGTTAATGTTGTAACACACCCTGAGCCCACTTGTGGGGAGGGCAGGATAGAAATTGAACCAAATAAAAAATACATGAATATAAGTCCCCTTGCAACTCTATAGTTTCATGATTCTGTACCATAAATAGTCCTAGTGACTCAATACAACAGCACCTACTACAGCTATTTGCTGAGGTGATAATCAAATTTACTCTCCATGTAATGCTAGATGGGTAGCCGTGCTAGTCTGTCCATAGCAGTAGAAAAGAGTAAGAGACCAGTAGCACCCTGAAGACTAACAAAATTTGTGGTAGGGTATGAGCTTTCGTGAGTCACTGCTCTGAAAAAGTGAGCAGTGACTCATGCAAGCTCATACCCTACCACAAATTTTATTAGTCTTTAAGGTGCTACTGGATTCTTACTCTTTTCTACATGTAATGATAGATGCTGTAGGAGATTATAGAGCCATATGGTTACAATGAGCAAAGGACAAAAGCAGAAAAGCTAAACCCAAATCCCTCTTTCACACTCGCTTACCCCAACCTGAACTGCCAGTTTAAGTCAAACATCACGCAGTACAACTTCCTGAACTCTAAAGACTGAATCAGGTGACAGACCAGAAAAACACCACACCTTCCCTGCTACATATAAACCTGACTCCTCTATGTCTGCCTCTGCTGGCTCAGCCTACCATCTGAGCTCAGAGATGTCACAGCAAATTCAGCAACTGGAAATAAAATGTCACTCCACATTTGCTAGCACCATACCTGCTGCTATTTCTGGTCTCCTGTCTGCTTTTTCCTCTTAACACCAATGGACACACAGACAAAGAAAAAACTGGATAAAGAAGCTTGCCAAGAACATCACTTAAAGCAAAGTGCTTCAGATTAGATTGTTGCAGTCTTCCTATCAGAGTTCCAGCTCGATATATATGCTAACCTCTTGCTCATATCTCAACACAGAAGTTGCCCTCAAGTGCTCATTCTTGTCAAATTCTCTATGTCACCATGTTCTTCCAAAGCTAAACAGGATGCTCCCTTAAAAGGCTTCATCCTAATTTCATTTGATGCTGGGTTGATAGACATCAGTAAGCAGCAGACAGGGATTTATTTCTCTATGAATAAGTTCTGCCATATTTGGTATACAGTCAGGGAGTGGTTTTCTTACTGGGTCTCCCTCCTACTCTGCTTCCTCCCTCAGGGATTTATACAAAAATTTCACTAAGGACACGAAAACCACATTGATGATCTCATGACTGGGCAACAAATCTTTATATAGCAACTTGAAGTATTTGCAGGAAAACATTTACCACGGAAGCATAACTACTGATAAAGAGAGAGGAAAACATTTATAATGGAAGCAGACTACTGATAAAGAGAGCTGCATTACAGCACCAATATGACTAGGGCATCTAGCATTAAACCAATACAAACAAATTAGGGTTGCCAACTAAACGCAGGCTTTTGATAAGGGTCTTGTAGCTTCACGTGCTACAGGGGATGTGTACGGGGAGGAAATCTGCCAGGTGCTCCTTCTCCACCCACCTCGACAAGGCCAGCCTTTACTTGTACATTTTGCTTCCTATGCCTGCTTATAAACCGCATTTTGTCCAACATATCCTGTTTCCAAAAGCGCGTACGGTTGCTGCTTGAGAGCAGCCCTGCTCCGATCTCAGGGTTTGCACTTGGCAACCTCCCGGAGTACAACGACATCTATGGACGTAGAGCAAGGACAAAAGCAGAAACTGAACCCAACAGTTTTGAACAGGGGCCGCGCTTCAGATAGCAACCCCAGTTCTGCGCGAAATCTTCCAGGCGGGATCCATCCGACAAAAGGCCCCGCGCTGAGCCTGGTCCCAACGCATGCGCCCGCCTCATCCCTTGACCCTGCCCTCGAGTCAAAGAGCGAACTTCCCTCAAGGCGCCCCTATGAAGCCAGTTACCTGCAAAGGGTACACGTCCCTGCCTAGTGGAATCCGGCGCTTATATCATCAGGAGGAAGCGGCCACTCCGCATCCGCCGCTGATAACGCGCACCCAACAACGTGCACCCCTCCGCTCGCCAGGAGTCGCTCCCGCCTGTCAAAGCCTCTCGCAAACATCCGCCTCTGACCCGGAAAGCCAATTAGTCTCCATGGGAACACCTTCCCGCCTCCATTCAGCAACTGATGTGGAAAGGGAAAAACAGTCCGGCTGGACCTGACGCTTACTGCTTGGGCCGTTCCGCTTCGTTAGGACCGGCCAGGCGCCGTGATGGAGCAGAACCCCGGCAGGTGTGAGTGCGACACCCCCACGTATACACGCGCGCACGCGCGCGCGCACACAGTCAGGGCTGAGGGGTCGGCTGTTTTTCTCACGACTCTGCTTGACCTTCGCTTTTGTTTCTCCCGCAGGTCGCTCCGTGGACTCGGGTGGTGGTTGGCCCTGCTGCCCAGTGTGGAGACTCCCGCGAGGCCTGGCCCTGGGCCCTTCGCTATCTGCCGCCAAGGGGCTGGGTGTGTGGTGCGTGGGGAGGGACCTGCGGTCGGGGATGCTGCTGTTGGGTCCGCGGGAAGAGGAAGTGGAGAGGGTGAGCGAACGAGAGGGCTGACCCCAGCATAGGTGCCCCGATGCTAGAGAGAGAGTGTTTCATTTACACCCTTTCTTCCCAGTGGGGACCTAAAGCAGTTTACATCATTCTTCTTTCCTTCATTTTGTCCTCACAACAACCTTGTAAGGTAGGTTGGGCTGAGCATGTGTGCTGGACTATGGTTACCCAACAGGGTTGTTAACCTCCAGGTGGTGACTGGAGATCTCCTGGGATTACAACTGTTATCCAAGCGATACAGATCAGTACACTGGGAGAAAATGGTTGCTTTGGAAGGTGGTGTCCATAGAATTATACCCCATTGAAGTCCCCCTTTCCCTAAACCCTGCCCTCCTCAGGCTCCACCCCCAAAATCTCCAGGTGTTTCATAGAATCATAGAATGTTAGACTTGGAAGGGACTTTGTAGGTCATCTAGTCCAACCCCCTGCACTCTGCAGGAGCATAGCTGAAAGATAGCTGAAAGATGGTCCTCCAGCCTCCACTTGAAAACGTCCAGTGAAGGAGCATCCACCACCTCCTGAGGCAGTCTGTTCCACTGCTCAACCACTCTTACAGTTAGGAAGTTTCTCCAGATATTTAGCCGGTAACGACTCCCTTGTAATTTCCATCCATTAGATCTAGTCTTGCAATCCGGAGCAAGAGAGAATAGATCCGCTCCATCTTCTACATGACAGCCCTTCAAGTACTTGAAGACTGCACTCATGTCCCCTCTAAAGCCTTCTCTTTCCCAGGCTAAACATACCCAACTCTTTCAGCCTTTCCACATAAGACTTGGATTCCGACCCTCTCACCATCCTGGTTGCCCTCTTCTGGACACGCTCGAGCTTGGTCAACATCCTTCCTAAAATGTGGTGCCCAAAACTGGACACAGT